AATGAGGGGTGTGGCTTATTGGTAGAGTACCTTCTTAAAAAATGTATCAGGCCCTGAGCTTACCTTAGAGCACTAAAAATAAGAAGGAAGGGTGTTAAAGTTAACTAGGTTTCTGATGCTTTAAAGAATTAGTTTATTTTGTCAAGTGTGATAAGAATGTGATATGGGCTGAATATTTGTGTTGCTAACATTCATATGCTACAGCCTTAATGTTCTACATAGTGATGGTCAGAAGAAGGGCTTTAGGTAGTAATGTGTTATTGAACAGTGCTTTGGTAAACCAGAAAGCATGTATTTGTTCCAGAAGATCAGAAGTGAACTGAAAAAATCCTATCATCTAGTGATGTTTCAGCCAGCCTAATGTTTTGGGATAATGCTGATAGTAACTAACCTCCTGGGTCATATGAAAGCATAGCACATAATTAAAACATGATAATGAAGAGAAGAAAACCAGCCGGGCGGTGGTGGCTCACACCTTTAATTCCAGCACTAGGAAGGTAGAGACAGGCAGATTTCTGTGAGTTTGAGGCCAGCCTGGTCTACAAAGTGAGTTCTAGGGCAGCCTGGGCTGTTACACAGAGAAACCCTGTCCTGAAAAAAAAAAAAAGAAAAAGAAAAAAACCCAACAATTATGCTACTGGTTTCTCTATTACCTCGCATACTTTATTATTAGAATATATTCCTTCATATAAATAAACTACCATGAATATGCCATATCACATCAGCAGGAACCTCATGGCACACATCTCATGTTTACAAAATATCTGGATTGTATCAAGAAGCCAGATAAATTGATTAACATATGGCATCTATGTTTGTGTAAGTATATTTGATGACATTCACTCATCGATGAGATTGTTTAACAATGCATTTCTCAGAACATATCTCCACTGTTAAGCAATGCATGAATACAATTAGGTGTATATTAACTCACGAGCATGAGAACTCCTGGGGGAAATAACATTCTTGTAAGTAGAGGAAGAAAGACCTGCCGTTATACACACTACTTTGGGAAGGCAATTATCTGCAAAAAGACCTAGATTTAGACTTCTCAGTGATATGGGAGTGTCATATATCAATCTGTTGATTTCATTGGTTAAGCAATAAAGGAACTCCTTGGCCCTGATAGGTTAAAAGATAGGTGGGAAGAGTAAACAGGAGGAAGAGGAAATGAGGTCAGACTCTGCTCTGCTCCCTGACAGACCAGACAACTCTGCTCTCCCAGGATGGAAGGAGGCTAGAATTTTCCCGGTAAGCGCACCTTGGGGTGCTTACACGCATTATTAGAAATGGGCTAATTCAGGTGCGAGAATTAGCCTGTAAGGGCTAGAGTTCCTGGGCCAAGCAGTTCTTAAATGAATACAGTTTGTGTGTTGTTATTTCGGGCATGAGCTAGCCAAGCGGCCGGGGTGTTGGGGACGCAGCCCCGCTGCCGCTCCTATTTCAACAGATGGCGCCCAGACGTGTGGACAACTGAATCCACAAAAAGCCTGAAAAAGCTTGGGAAAGAGTAAAGCATGTTTTCTTGATAGCAGCAATTTCTTGGGTCTGCTCTGCTTGTTAGAAGCAAGCAAGCACTCTCATCTAAGAGAGGCTTCCTGACTCAGCTTCAGCTGCAAAACCCTGCAGCTCATTAAGAGGTCCTGCCACAAAACACTTAAACGGTGTTGGCGAAAAGCTGAACGCATGCTTTTCGGTTTTCAGCCGTAGCAGGAAAAAAGCTGCGCTGTTTAAAAATGCCGGCTTTCTGGGCTGTCCTGCCACGGCAAACTCTGACTCTTTTACGCAGGCGGTTCGTGTGGTTTGCAAGCACAGGCTGCTGAAGCTCGCTTGCTGGCAGGGACCTTGAAATGCCATAGAGTTGTGGCAGTAAACGTGGCTACAACCGGTACCTCAGCCATGAGGCCGGAAAGCTAAGGAATGGACTGGATCTAGCTGGCAAAGCCACGGCTTTAATCCTACTCATATTGCTCAGTAATTTAAAGGCTCGTGTGGTCAGAAAAAGAGAGATATACAGTAAAGAGATTCAAAGACAAAGAAAATGTTTAAATGATTTACAGTGTGTTAAAAATATATGCAAGCTAAAAGTTAAAAGTTCTTAAAAAAAAATAAGAAAAAGAGAAGTTGTGTGTGGTAGTACACGCCTTTAATCCCAACACTTGGGAGGCAGAGGGAGATTGACCTCTGTGACTTCAAGGTGTGGTAGCACACGCCTTTAATCCCAGTGCCTAGAAGGCAGAGACAAACAGATCTCTGTGAGTTCAAGGTGTAGTAGCAAACACCTTTAATCCCAATGCCTGGGAGGCAGAGACAGGCGGATCTCTGAGAGTTCAAGGAGAGCCTGGTCTACAGAGTTATTCCAGGTCAAAGAGATACAGAGAATATAAAAGTAAAAATAAACGAAATAGAGGTTAAAATAAAGCGTACAAAGATGGAAAATACACAGAGAATCTTGATACTGTATACTATTATGCTCTCTTTGAATTGTTTGAATGCTGAGGAAGGAGCAACAGCTGCTAAAAGATATTTGTTTATAAATGCTGCTGAACTAATCCAACGTAGAGATTTTGATGCCTTGACTTTGAAATTTGGATCTAAGGACATGATACTTTGGAAAGGAGTTTCTTTTTTTGTTTTCACAGAGGATGAGACCCTGTTCATTTCTTCTATTCCGATATGGTATGATGGACCACGCCCTCCTGAACGGTTGCTGTGAATACCTTCAGAAAATTGCTTCGCTCAACTGCCAACTGAGATGAAACTAGCACACAGGTTATACCATGAAAGACCTAATTAACGACGCCCCCATTCAGCAGGAAGCAGTTTGGAGAGAAAAAACTGCGCCCATGTTCCCAAATATGGTTTATAAATGTTCTTTTACATTTAAAGGGGGAGATGATATAGGTATGAATAATTTACATTGATATGGATTTTGCTTTAGTGATTTAAATTTAAGGTTAATTTTGTAATGTATATAGGTTGTTAATGAATAATCATTAATAATAGTTAAGTTTGTAGTCATGTTAGTTAAGATTTTCTAGATGTGCATAGATATATTTTAGATAGGCATTCTTCATATTTTTCAAAGATTATAGAATATGGCATTTTAAATGTTTTAATAACTTAGGACTTTTCATGACAATGAGACACTCTGCTCCTGGCAGCACCAATCTACTTCAAGAGGAAGATGGGCATCGAAGAGGATCCTTATGGAGTTTGATAGCCATTTGGGCAAGAAACTGCTCTTGCCTGGACTATTGCATAAACTGGACACAGAGAACCCGCAGAGAGAGGACTGCTGAACTTGCCTAAAGGTGAGATGATCTTTCGGGGTTCCTGATTCATGAAAGAGTCTGCAAGACATTCTTCAGGACAAGCAGATAGTGACTGCCTTTGAAATTTCCTGCTTTGTGGAAATGTCTGCTGGAAACTATGGGCCTGTAGGCTGAAGATGGATGCCCCAACGGTACAGAGGAACTTTGGGTGACTGTCCAGGCAGCGAGATGTCTCTGTCATTTCTAGAGTTTGAGAGTTGCTTATTTCTTGTTTGCTCAGGTAATATTGTGTCTTTCTGGACTCTTTGATGGAGTTAAGAATAGTTAGCTATAGTTATAGTTTTCCTTAGTTATGATATAGATTATTGTAATTTTTACTTGATAACTTTTGTTATATGTAATTTTGCTCCGTTAAAGTTAAAGCCTTCTTTTTTTGTTTAAACAGAAAAAGGGGAAGTGATGTGGGAGTGTCATATATCAATCTGTTGATTTCATTGGTTAAGCAATAAAGGAACTCCTTGGCCCTGATAGGTTAAAAGATAGGTGGGAAGAGTAAACAGGAGGAAGAGGAAATGAGGTCAGACTCTGCTCTCCCAGGATGGAAGGAGGCTAGAATTTTCCCGGTAAGCGCACCTTGGGGTGCTTACATGCATTATTAGAAATGGGCTAGTCCAGGTGCGAGAATTAGCCTGTAAGGGCTAGAGTTCATGGGCCAAGCAGTTCTTAAATGAACACAGTTTGTGTGTTGTTATTTTGGGCATGAGCTGGCCAAGCGGCCGGGGTGTTGGGGACGCAGCCCCACCGCCGCTCCTATTTCAACATCTCAGTCTGTGAGAAACAAATGCATTTTGTTACAGTAGCTTGAGAAACACAGCACTAAGTGCATACTTAAAAAATACCCTTGAATATATACTGAAGTATTTGTAGATAATGATACACAGGATGTCTTATATTGACTTTGAAGTGCTATGGGCAAAAAGATAGGAGAAGAGGATCAAGATGGGGAAGAGCTGCTTATTATTGAAGCTAATTTATCGTTCTTTTTACTTCTGTGTATGTTTGAAATTTATTGGAATAAAAATTAAAACTTTATTTCATAGGGATTTTTTCATTTTTCTTTTTCTATTCCTTTTTTTAATCAAAGAATCTTTTTTTTAAATATTTATTTATTTATTACGTATACAATATTCTGTCTGTGTGTATGCTTGCAGGCCAGAAGAGGGCACCAGACCTCACTACAGATGGTTGTGAGCCACCATGTGGTTGCTGGGAATTGAACTCAGGACCTTTGGAAGAGCAGGCAATGCTCTTAACCTCTGAGCCATCTCTCCAGCCCTCAAAGAATCTTTTTTATTTTACATCCTAATCCCAGTTCCTTCTCCCACAACCTTCCTCGAACCCCACCCTCAATCCACTGCTCAGAAAGGGTGAGGCCTCCCCATGGGGATATTATAAAAAAAAAAATGAATGGGCTGCAAAGTTGTTATTTTTGTTTCAAAAAATAAACAATGTACCAGGTGGTGGTGGCACACACCTTTAATGCCAGCACTTGGGAGACAGATGAATCTCTTTCAGTTCGAGGCCAGCCTGGTCTACAGACTGTGAGTTGCAGGACAGGCTTCAAAGATACACAGAAAAACCCTGTCTTGAAAAACCAAAACCAAAACCAAACCAAAACAACCCCCCCCCAATCAAACAAACAAACAAACAAAACCCAATCTATACCTTTCTGCAATGAAGTCTGACTTGATTCATCCTGTGTATTATCTTTCTGAGCACTCAATAGATCTGCAATCAGAACCTCAAGTGATGGATAGCTGCTCCCAGATGTTTGGATTTTTTCTTCCATTGTTTTCTTAATGTCCCTGAAACTGAATCCCATTCGTATAGCTTCTTGTACCATAGGATTCTGGAAGATGGTATCATCTGAAATCAAAGTTGGATAGAGAAAGAACATAGCAGAAACAAATATTTTCATTAACACAAATAAACAATTAAATAGGGCTTTAAGACCATGCCATTGCTGAGAAGTACTTCACTGGTAGACTGTCTGCTACTATGTGCGTTGCTGAGGCTTTGATTTCCAAAGTTGGAAAGAAAAATGCAAGACAGGTTAAAACAGGTAAGAAAAGTATCCAGAGGATGAGGCTGTTGGAAGAGTGATTGCCTGGTATGCATGCAGTCCCAGCATTAAATCTCCAGCAAAACATCAACCTAGTATGGTAGTGTGGGCTTGTGTCCCAAGAAATGACAAAGTAGGAGGACTAAGAGATCAAGGTCATATTCAGCCATCTACCAAATTCAAGCCCAGTCTAGGATACACTAGATCCTGTCTCAAAATAAAGCAAAACAATAAAGTAAAATGTCTTAAGAAAAAAAAACCCACCTGCATTTGTCAGGGCCCAGCAGTAGGAGAATGGAGAATGACTGATGCAGGGTAGGTATACAAATAGTGATGGTACAACATCAGGGAATAAGGACTCACCAGGTACTCTAAATTAAATTTTCTATTTCTGAAACATACTGCCTCAATTGAAAAATGAAATCTAAAAATACAAAACAAAAACAACACCAGAGCTGGATATTGTAGTACATATCTTTAATTTTAGCACTCTGAAGGCAGAGGCAGGAAGGTGTCTGGAGTTTGGAGGCCAGCCAGGCCTTCATAATGAGCTCCAGCATAGCCATGTTTTTTAAACAGAGAAACCCTGTGCCATAACACCAACAAAACACCATCAAAAACCTATAAATAACCCCACCAAAACTTAGATCTACAATGTGCTATGAGATTTAGAAGATCTTGTTTACAGTTCTAGATCTATTCATAATTTATAATGTCACACGCCTTTAATACCAGCACTCAGGAGGCAGAGGCAGGCAGATCTCTGAGTTTGTGGCCAGTCTGGTCTACAGAGTGAGTTCCAAGACAGCCAGGAATACACATAGAAGAACCCTGTCTTGGAAAAAAAAACAAAATAACAACAAAACATCAACAAAAATATATAATGTGGCTGTGAGTAGAGCATATAACCTCCTTGTTTCCTTGGTTGAAAAATAGGAATAACTGCTAGAGCTGTAGCTCAAAGTACTCATCATTAGAAAGGCTTTGGGCTCAATCACCAGCCTGGAAAAACAATAAACACCATCAGAAAATCTGCTTTAGCTGTGTGTGGGGTTACTTAAAGACTGAGGCAAAAAGAGAGATCCAGGCCAGTTTGGTCTACACAGTAGACCACTGAGATGACTCAAATGTTAAAAGTACTGGTTTTTCTAGAGGACTTGGGTTCAGTTCTTGGAACTTACATTATAGCTTACAACCACCTATAACTGCAGTTCCAGGAGATCTGACATTCTTTTCTTGCTTGGGGGAACCAGGCACGCACATGGTAGACATTTGTGAAGGTTGAACACCCATACACATTAAATGAATGAATAAATGAATAAATAAATAAATGAATAAATAAATGGAAACAAGTTTTCCTCCCTCCCTAGCTTTTTTAAACCCATGTCATGCAACCCAAATTAGCCATAGATTTGGAATTCCCCTGCTTTAATATCCCAAGTGCTAGTATTATGGATTTAAGCCACAACACCTGACTTTCTTTCTTTCTTTCTTTCTTTCTTTCTTTCTTTCTTTCTTTCTTTCTTTCTTTCTTTCTTCTTCCTTCTTTCTTTCTTTCTTTCTTTCTTTCTTTCTTTCTTTCTTTTTTTTTTTTTTTTTTTTTTGAGACAGGGCTGCTCTATATAACAGCTTAAGCTATCCTAGAACTCAGTCTGTAGACCAGGCTGGACTTGAACTCACAGAGATCCACATACCTCTGCCTCCTGAGTGCTGGAATTAAAAGCATGTGCCATCCTGCCCGGCAATACCTGGCTTTCTATTAACATCCTCACTATAGAAATACATGGTATAAAAGTATAAGCACTTCATTAACTTCTGAAATGTACAGTGACCTCATTAAACATACTAATTTGGCCACAAAATTAAAGATTCATTTTAATAAGCATATTTACCGATTCTTTTAGTTAGTGAAGGTGTTTTTTCAGCAGTTCTTACCTAAAATAAAATTATGAATGGTAAGAATTCACTTTAGTAGAAAGCAATTATTTCAATTTGAAAAATTAATGAACTTAAAACAAATTGGCTTTATTCTAATTTAAAACATGACTATTCACAAGAACATAGCCTAATAGAACAGAAGAAGTTAGGAATATTTAATTCAACAACACTACAGGCAAGAAGCTGAGGCCCCATGAGACCAAACGACTTCCTGGGGGAGAAACAAATTCAAACTAAACTAAAAAACCAGTGGCAGAACTATCATGTTAATTTTAGATTCCCAATCCAGTCCAGGATTCTTCCCACATTTTACTAATGATTTGAGAACCCTTGTCCTATTTATCTATTCAGATATGTTTTACATTTTATTTTGTCCCAGGCCATTGTTTATGATAGCCAGATAAGGTATAATTGATGTATATCTCCAGTCCTATTTTTGCAATTTTAAGTACTATGTGCTAAAAGGTAACTAAAGAGATGCCTCAGCTGCTCTTGCAGAAGACCAGAGTTCAGTTCCCAGAATCCGTATTGGGCAACTCACAACTGCCTGTAACTGTAATGCCAGCTCTAGGGATCTGATGCCCTCTTTTGTTTTCCTCAAGTACCTGCACAATACATATAACACATGATGTACACACACACAAACACACACTCTCTAAATCAATCAATCAATCGATCAATCGATCAATCAATCAATCAATCATTTTTTAAAGGTGAAAACTGCCAGGTATGGTGGCAGATTCTTTTAATCTCAGCACTCAAGAGACAAAGGCAGGCACATCTTGTGTGTTCACAAGGTCAGCCTGGTCTACAGGGTGAAATGCTTTTTTTTAAAAAAAAAGGTAGAAACAATTTGTGAGTTCAAAGTATTTACACAGAATTTTTGAAGGCTAAATGATTTCAGTATTTTAAATTCTTTACACCCATTCTGACCACAGTAATACATTATTTTACCCCAATCTTTTCAAAAATTTGCTTCAGAGTTAAGAATTAGAAGCTTTCTTCAAGTATCTCCGCTTTAAAGTTTACTACACGTTAATTATGAGTATACCATGCATTTTACTGGAAGAAATCATTAGAAAAACAAATAGTATAGAATTTGAAACCATATATACATAATAGACAACTTACCAAAGATTCCCCAAGCGAATGGGTTAAATGAATATTATTTATATATTCTTGCCCCTTCTCATCCAATAGATATTTACACCTAAAAGATTAAAGAAAATTAGACTCTACTAGCTGATAAATCAGTGAAGTATTACTAAAGCCAGTCTCTCTCTGAATGCAACCCCAGGAACTCACACAGTGGAAGAGAACAAACTCCTGCAAGCTGTACTACCCTCCACTTGTGTACTATGAAGATCACCCCCATGTAATAAATAAATAAAGGTAATTTAAAAATGTACCTTTCCATTATTATTATCTTTTTTTGTACATGGTACTAGGGTTTAAATTCAGGGCCATGTACATACAAAACAAGCATTCTATCACTTAAACTATATATCATTTTCATATATATATAAAAAGGAAGGAGGTCCCACCTCCTTCCTTTTTTCATGCAAATTCTCATGTGATCCAAACTATGATTCTCAAACTTGCTATGTAGCCAAAGATGACCCTGAACTTCTAATCCTCCTGCCTATATACCTCAAGTGCTGGGATTATAGTCAGGAACAGGCATAAATCACCCTATTCTTTTAAAAATAAAACTTTTCATTTGAGATAGGGCTTTGAAATCTATTTTATCAGACTCCTAAGATTAAAGGCCTCAGCATCACTGTTTCTAGGGAGCCACAAAGCAAACTGTTACTCAATTCGTTATCCAGTTGTCATTTCAAGGCTAAAACAATCCTCCTATTATTCATGCTAATAATATAAATTTTAGAACTTTCGATTTTTAAGCAAGAGTTACTAAATTAGGAGCCGATTTTGGTGGCATATGCCTGTAATTCCAGCACTTGGGAAGCAGAGTCAGGAAGACTGATATGAAAACCAGGCTAGCCTGGGCTATATATAGCCAGACCCCCCCCAAGTTGAAAAAGTTATTAGTCAGGTATGGTGGCAAATACCTGGGATTTATGCATTTAGGGGTTAAGCCAATAAAATAAGAATTTCAGCACTATCATTGGCTATATAGTGAATCCTTGCTAGCCTGAGCTTCAAGAGATCCATCCTGTCTCTAAATAGAAAGAAAACAAAAAAGACAGGCATGGTACCACACCTCTATAATACTCAAGAGGCAGAAGCTGGAGGACTGCTACAAGGCTTAAGTCCAGACCAGTCTACTTAGGAAGCTGTGGGCCAATTAAGGTTACACAACAAGACCATTATTTTTAAAACACACATACAAAAATGCAAACAAAAATCCAAAATTGAAAACAGACAAAAGAAGCTATTAAAGTAGTACTCCAACACTGATCTTTTTGGGGTGTTGGTTACTAGACAGGGTTTCTGGCTGTCCTAGAATTCCATAGAACAGGCTGTCCTTAAATTTAAGAGGTCCACCTGCCTTTCCCTCCTGAGTGCTGGGGTTAAATGCATGGGCCACCAACACCCAGCCAACACTTTTCATAAGTTCAAAATGGTAAATCATTTTTTTTTAAGTCAATAGTGAATACTTAAAAATCTTAGCTTTCACCGGGCGGTGGTGGCGCATGCCTTTAATCCCAGGACTTGGGAGGCCAGAGGCAGGCGGATCTCTGTGAGTTTGAGACCAGCCTGGTCTACAAGAGCTAGTTCCAGGACAGGCTCCAAAACCACAGAGAAACCCTGTCTCGAAAAACCAAAAAAAAAAAAAAAAAAATCTTAGCCTTTATTTTCTCAATTAATTATAAGGTAGTTTAAGGAAGATTCATTTCAAATGAATCATCCAAAGATTTAAGTTGGATTATTTTTATAGTATAAACTCATACAATTTATATAGCTGAGTACTATATTTTACAGAGGCAAGATGACAAAGGAACCTGAAACAACTAGAGGGTTTCAAGATGAAGGGTAGCCTGGAAAACATTGTGAATTCAGGCCAACCTCAGCTAATTTGAGACTTTGCTTCAAGTTAAAACCAAACAAAACACAAATAATATATAATAATATTCAGGACTTCTCATGACACCATGGGCTCAGGCCATTCTCCAAAGAGCCTACTTCTAAATGAAAGGCATATATTTTTGTATAGTATAATAAATAAAATGTACACATTTTTATAATTTGGTGTTTAGAAACAGACCATGTAAGTATCATATGATATAGGAACAGTGATTGTTTTTGGTTACCAGAAGTCTTCTGTTTTTGTTTTTTTGTTTTTTTTTTTGCCTACAAAGTAGGTGACCCCGTTTCTATAAACCTGGTGTGAATTTCAAGCCATAGTGAAGGCAAAAAATAGTTGAGGTGAAAAGTAATTCAAATCTTTCCACTGAACATTGTCCAACTTGCCTATTACTGAATGAGCGATTAAGAATCTTACCCTGGAAACCATTTAGCATGCTGTTCCCAAGGGTCTTCATTTGGCTTCCAATCTGTGAGCCCTCCTCCACAGTGAAAGCATTTCACTTTGTCACCTTCACCTAAGAAAACAGACAAGTAAAACTATGTGTATTTGTGCAAGGAGACGTTTTCAGAAAAATGCCCGTGCTAATATTTAAGGGGTGTCTATGTTACATAAGAATCTCATGGCTTAAAGGAAGACATTCACATTCTATTTAGATATGATCTCTGTCATTTGAGGGGAAATACATACTAAATTCACCATCTCAATATGAGGTGCTTTGTAGAAGACAACAAAAGTAAAATCAAACTTTTTAATACTAGAAACTATAATCGTTACATTCTCTCTAGTGTATGTCATTTAGGTCATAACTATTATACTTACTTCATCAAACTGAAATTTGTACAAGTTATATTCCAAATGTTAAAAACAATGAAACTCAGCATAAATTACAAGTATCTTCATATCTTCAAGGACAGAGCCCCCTGACATGAAAATGACCTTTAAGATTACTATGTTAGATAAATGAAGATTTGAAATAATTTATATTTGAATTTGGCATTATTTAATCTTAAAATAAATGGGTCAGGCATGTAGATATAAAATATTCCTAGAAGCCACCACAATACTGGATTTTCTTGAGACATCTACAGGAACTGTTTCAAAATGGTTCTGAAGCAATAAGGCACAATACTGGGCAGCTTTCAAACATGTAGTGTACGCTTTAAAGGTAGATGGTAATTTTGTGGTTGGCTGAGAGAGAGTATCATGATGAAGCTCAAACTGCCCTCAAACTCAGGCTGATCTTCCTACCTTAACCTATGGATTGCTAAAATTATAGGTGTGTGGCACCATGGTTAGCTTGATGTCAGTTTACCATGAACCAAACTAACTTCTCTGTTAACTCTTTTTATAGGGTTGTAGTTAAAGCTTAGAGAAAATCCATGTAATAGGTATTTGAAGCACACAGAGATGTTCAATAAATGGTAGCTATTATTACTATAAGACCCATTCATTATCTACCAGAAATCAATATTTTTTTCTCTCAATTCTACCCCCAAACAATTATATGAACACATTTGACTCATAATTGCATAGCCTTTAACATAAATTTAATAGTTACATTAAAGAGTTAACATATGAGTTCAGAAAATGATACTGATGATAAATAATACTGAAAACTTATACCTAAATATTTATCAGTTCAGAAGACTAAAGACAATGATTTTCTTTTTAGGGGCTCTATGACAGTTGGAAAGTAATATATTGATTAAGTTTACCTAAAGCATAAAATCCAGCTCTTGCAAGCTGCTCCTTGTTAACTGAGTATATCCATGTTCCAAAAGTAATGATCCGTGCTTCATATTCTGCCATGGCTGGATTTCTTGGAGAAATTGTCGAATTTGGGAAATTCCTATCAGAACTCACACCAGATTCACTTCGAACATTAACATTCCGGCCCAAAACAAAGAAGCAGTTGGGAAAGTGTCTCCTGTGTTCTGACCAGGCGCGGTCACAGGGCTCCCAATTTTTCAGTTTTCCACCACAACAAAAACACTGCACTTGATCATCAATCCCTGTGTAGTAGAGGCCAGCACTAGCTAACTCTCTGGGGGTTATATGAGCATAGTCTGGCCAGTTATGAAATGACTTCAGTCTGGCTTCTTCACTACACATGGCAGGGTTCCTCGGGAATATGGTGTCTGAAATATCTACAACCTGTCCAGTTCTCAAAAGATAATCTGCTTGAGTCTCAGATGGTCTGTCAAGAGCAAAATGATTTCTGTTTCCCACATAGTTTTCAGCTTTGTACTGGCCATTTTGGACACCAGGATTTGCAGACTGTGTGGCACTGTTTTCAAAATAAAAACCATTGATAAATCTGCAATTTGGGGATATTTTCCTGTGTCTTCCAACAGCTGAGTCTCCATATTGCCATCTATCTACTGCTGCGTGACAACTAAAGCACTGCACAGTATCTCCTTCACCAGTATAAAGAAACCCTGCCCGTGCCAATGTTGATGCTGAAACAGGACAACTACTTGGAAAGGTAGCAAACGTTTTTAATCTATTAAACTCTTCTACAAATTCTTCATCCTTATTGGTGTCTGCAGGTACACAAGTTCTAGATCCTTCAAAACTGTTAAAAGTCATCTTCTCTTGAAAAGAGGACTTGACCACCTTTTCTAAAAAGAGAACATGGCATTAGGAAATCCCAAACACATAACATAAGAAACTTATTTCTGATACCAAGCACTAACAAATAATCCAGTGATAACATAAAAACAATGGCACAATCACTAAGGCACACTTTAATTCTAAACACTAGAGCCTTACATTACCAAGCTACTTGAGCTTTAAAATCTGATGCTTTTGGTTTCTCTTTTCAGTGGCAAGGCTTCACATAATGCCAGACACCTGCTCTAACACAGTTCCAGCCTGTTTCTCTCTCTTATTTATTACAGTCTTGGATATCCATCTCAGGGCTTTTTGCATTTTAGGCAAGCGCTCTCTACAAATAAGCCTCTATCTCAGTCCCATTTTCTCTTTTGATAGAAAACAATATGTAAACAAACAGAGCAGAATTACTAATCTTAATCACTCATTTTATATAACTATGTAAATTATGCACAGAAAAATTATAAATATTAAACCCGTGAAGTCATTAATTAGGAAAGACATGAAAGTAGCATAAAATATGCAGATTATTAAAGACTATGCATAATTGTTATAATGAATCATTTCATATTCAAGGAATCAAAGTTCATTTTTACTATTTAAAAAGAAATGAACGCTTAGAATGTTCATGGATTAATTTAAAATATATTTTTGCTTTCTTGCTTAGCAAAAAAAAAAAGATGCTCTAGTGAATGTCATACCCAAGAATATACAGGAAGCACAAATTTAAAAAAGAAAGACAAAGTCGCGTGGTGAATCTGGGAGGAGATGAAAAGGTAGGTGACAATGACCAAAATGCAATGTATAAAATTCTCAAAGAATAAAAGTAAACAAAGAAAGTATTCACAAAATTGGGTCCAGCATGTTAAGAATATTAAATGCTTTCCTCATTTTCATGTGCAGAGACTATTTTGCTGGAAATGGACCACTCCTTATTTTATGTACACACACATACACACCCCATATACCCAAAACTGCCAGGCAGATAATGGCTTAATATTTATGGATATTAATTGAAATTACTTTTGCTATCAATTTCCGTTTGTCAAGGAACAGTCTGTTTAAATGGGAGAGAATTTAGCAGCCTCATTAGAGTTGTCCAATTACAATTACGTAATGTTTAGCCCAACTAACACACCAAAAGGAGTCAGCTATATCATGGGAAGAGTGATAAGATAGCTTGTGCTCTAACCCAGTAAATTGCAAAATGATGCTACTATTAATTGCACAAGTACTACAAGTGGAAATCATAGTCACCTTAGGCATAGCAGTCAAAAGAACATGTGGTCACCCTACCTACAAGATAAACCTGGTTCTGCTTCTCCAGAATCTTCCACAATGCCATACTGTCCTCAGTATATTTGTCAAATGAAAAACAAACAAATGGCTAAAACTCAAATAACTGCAAAAATGAAAATTTTGATTTAAAAATGAATACATATCTGGATATTTCTCTAAGGAGGATTTATAAATAGCCAACCATCACATTAAACACCAGGAGAATGCAAATTAAAGCCACAATGAGGTATCACCTCACACCTATTAGAATAGCTATTATTTGAAAGACAAAAACCAACATGTTGCTGAAAATATGAAAAAAAGGGACCTGCAAAGAGGAATGTAAGCTAGCACAGCCATTATGAAAAACAAAATGGAGGTTCTTTTTGCTTTTATTTTGTTGTTATTGTTTTGTTTCATTTTTTCAAGAAAGGGCCTCACTATGTAGCTTTGGCTATACTGAAACTCACTCTGTAGATCAGGTTGGCCTTGAACTCACAGACCTCTGCCTGCCTCCCAAGTGCTGAGATTAAAGGCGTGCGCCATTACCACCCTTTTGATTTTTGTATAAATATGTGTGCCTGGTATACATGCATGTGCATGGATATCTATTATTCTCTACTATTCTCTACTTTGTTAAGGCAAAATCTCTCACTGACTGGGCTGATCTGGCCAGCTTCTGCCTTGGCAATGCGCTGGGCCATCTCTCTAGCCCCTAAATGGAGTCTCTTCAAAAACAAGACAGAGTTGGGGTTTGGGGAAGTGGCAGAGCACCCGAGTTCAGTTCCCAGCATCTATATCCACATCAGGCTGTTCACAATCACCTATAACTTCACTTTCACAGGATCTAACGTCTCCAACCTCCTTGGGCACCTACACTTAATGCCCACACTCACAGGTACACACATGTGCGCGTGCACACACACACACATAATTAAAAATAAGTTTCAAAACCAACTAGACAACGATGGGGATGTTGCTAATGTAGTAGAGTACTTACCTATCCCTGGGTTTAATTCTTAGCACTACCTAAACTGGGTGCGGTGGTACAATAATCTGTACATATATATATTTCTATATAGTACATATTTCCCATGTAGTAATCTCAGAACTCCTGAGGTAGAGGATCAGAATATCAAGCTCATTTTCAGCTACATAACAAGTTTTAGGCCAGCCTGTGAAACACAATCTCAAAAACAAACAAAACAGGCAGCTCTAACTCAGGATCTAGCAGTCTCACCACTGGGCATACATCCAGGGAAGTGAAATCAGTATGCTGAAAAGACTACCTGTATTTGCACATTTAATATAGTAGTGTTTGTATGAGGAATCAGCTTTAGGTAACCATTGTTGAACAGACAAAGAAAATATAGTATATGTATACGAAATACTATTTAGCGTTAAAAAGATTAAAATTCTACCACTGGCAGAAACATGAATAGAACTGGATGAAATTATGTAAAGTAAAACACTTTAGGTACATATGTGGAAGCTAAAAGGTTAATGGGCACAAGGGTATAGTTGAACAGAAGTAACTTACTTTTTTCCATTTTGTTTGGAGACAGAGTTTCACTACATATCCAAGCTGACCTCATATTCACTGCCCAAGCCTCCAGAGACCTGGGATTACAGGCATGTACCATCAAGCCCTGCAGGACAAGGAATTTTTTTCTTTTCTTTTTCCTGTTTCATGTGTGTGGGTGAATATGCAAGTGCAGGCCTGTGCATGTGGAAGCCCAATGTTGGTGTTGGGAATCACCCCCAATTTCCCTTCCATCTTAATTGTTGAGACAAGATCTCTAAATAAAACCTAGGCTTACTGATAATGTCCAGTCTGTCAGCCAGCATGCCCTGCCAAAGCCTGTGTCCTCCTGGAATTAAAGGTATGCCACTATGTCCACCCAGCATTTATTTGGGCCCTGGGAATCAAAACTCAGGTCCTCATACTTGCATGCAAATGGTTTCCTTACTTAGCCAACTACTCAGTCCTGATTACTAATGTTCTGTAGTAAACTAGAAAAACTATGGTTGAAAATAACTAACCAGATACTTTAATTAATAGACAAGTTTTGAATATTCTGAATTCAAAGAAAATAAATGTCTGAAATGATAATTAATATTACTGATATGATTCAGTATATATTTCCCATGTAGTGAAACTTGTGACACTGTATCATATACACATAATTACTGTGTCAATTAAAAATATATTTTAGGGGCTAGAGAGATGGCTCAGCAATTAAGAGCAATGGTTGCTCTTCCAGAAGACCAGGGTTCATTTTCCAGCACCTCACAGTTGTCTGTAATCCCATTTCTAGGGGATTCAATACCCTTATACAGACATATATGCAGGCAAAAAAAAAAAAAACAACAATGCACATGAAAAAATCATTTGAAGAAACAAACTATGTATACATACATATTAAAGAATATATACACACATATAACATATATATTAAAGACTACAGAGGGCTGAGGCAGGGGACACTGAATTAGAGACCAGCCTGGGCTACATAATGAGGCCCTTCTGAAAACACAAATACACACACACCTCAGAATGGTCATGATGTCTTGTGTGCCTCTAGACACTAATTTTTTGGGATCTTGGGAAGACTTATGCAGAACTTTGGGCACTATGTTAACACAGTATGTCATAGAACATTAATTTCCTTTTGAGTAATATTTAAAAAATGCCTCTCTTGAAAGATGACAATAAATTTCAGACTTGTGTGGCCTTGCCAATTTTCACTAGTATCCAAATATCCCTTAAGAGCTGACTTTTATCTATCTCTGAGCAATTTTTTGGAACACAGTTTTAGATACTTTTGACTAGCATTTTCCAGATGTTTGAAAACATTCTGACAATAATGTTCAAAGTTCTTTGTTGACTCAGCATAAGCTAGATGATTAAGCAAGAAATTAAAAGAAACAAAAGGCTACTTGATAAGCTAGCAAGAAAAATTTAATACATAAATATGCAAAATATATATATATATATTTTAAAATTGTTGTATAACTAAGGAAAATGAAGAAATGGTTTAGAATGAAGTCATATAAATGCAAACTTCCAGTTTAAAACCTCGGGATTTTAGTTAATTGCAATTTCATTACAAGCCAACATTACATGGCTGCTAAAAAACTCACAGCCTTCAGACTGTGTTAGTGTCCAGATGTGGATCATTTACATCCAATTCAGCATAATGAATACTACCTCCAGTTCCAAACACATTTTTGGAGGAACATTGACAAATATTCATGTCCTCAGAAGAACAATCAAGATATTATCATATGAGGAATAGTTGGAAAAGCCAAGACTATTTATCCTAAAAGGAGGAATGATTAGCATGTGGAAAAGCAATTCAAATTCCATGAATCTTTACCCTCGCAGTGGAATTAAAGCCAATGGATATATTTAATATTTTTTTTTTGCATTTTAAAATTTGCACAGACACGCACATGCACACAAATACACACACACAGCAGGGTATGTGCCAGAGGTCAGAGGACCACTCACAGGACCCAGTTTTCTCCTTCTACCATGCGATCTCCAAAGATAAAAATCAGATCATCAGGTTTGGCAACAAATGCTTTTGTGATGAGTCCTCTGGCTGGCTCATAACCAATCCATTTTAGCCTCATATATAAATCAACTTTAAAACAAGCAACTGTGGTACAAAACGAGTTGGGTTGCCTTGGAGATTGTGAGTTCTTCCCATCAGTAAGAGACCTC